AATAAAAATATATAATTCTGTAAGTCATAATAATGAGAAACTTTCTCAAAATTATGACTTAGTATCTCGTTATAATGAGAAACTTTCTCGTAATAATGACTTAGTTTCTCTAAATAATGACTTATTTTCTCATAATAATGACTTAGTTTCTCGTAATAATGAGAAACTTTCTCAAAATTATGACTTAGTATCTCGTTATAATGAGAAACTTTCTCGTAATAATGACTTAGTTTCTCGAAATAATTACTTATTTTATGACTTACAGAATTATATTTTTTTTATTTAGTGGCGGAAACGGGTTTCCATACATGACAGGGTTCTAAACAAAGTAATCATTATTACGAGAAAGTTTCTCATTATTACGAGAAACTAAGTCATTATTATGAGAAAATAAGTCATTATTTCGAGAAAATAAGTCATTATTACGAGAAACTAAGTCATTATTATGAGAAAATAAGTCATTATTTCGAGAAAATAAGTCATTATTACGAGAAACTAAGTCATTATTATGAGAAATTAAGTCATTATTACGAGAAACTAAGTCATTATTATGAGAAAATAAGTCATTATTTCGAGAAAATAAGTCATTATTACGAGAAACTAAGTCATTATTATGAGAAAATAAGTCATTATTACGAGAAACTAAGTCATTATTATGAGAAAATAAGTCATTATTACGAGAAACTAAGTCATTATTACGAGAAAGTTTCTCATTATTATGACTTACAGAATTATATTTTTTTATTTAGTGGCGGAAACGGGCTTCCATACATGACAGGGTTCTAAAAAAAAAAAGATTACAAAGTGAGATAGCAAATAGGACAGCACATGCTGATCACGTATCGTAATTCTAAGAAAACTGAAATGAAGACTCATACAATTCATTTTAAAGACCTTGGAAAATAAGAAGACCTCTGTAACTAGTGAAATTCCAAAATCTGCTCTAATCCAAACTGCAGTCTAAATACAACCAAGCTACATCCGTTAGGATTTATGAAAGAATTGGTCTCATACAACATGAAATGACAAAACAAAATCAGTAAAAAATTTACTAAAAGTAAAAAATAAATAGGGTGTCCTAACATTTTCCACATGACTGTATATATAAACAACAAGTAACACACATTCAATACATAATTCCCAGGCCTATCAATGTGATGCACTGTAAAAGAGATTCAGTGCCTGGATTAGGCTGAATGTTTCTAGGAAATAGTTTATAGTCAATAATATATAACCATAATCAACAGTCTGTACCCAGCATTCTGACAACATAATGGATCCAACCGAGTTGACAAACCAAATCATATCTCTTCCTAATACATATCCAATATTTCCACAGCACATAAAAATCAGGCAGAGCTATGATCAATTGTCACATTGTCAGAAAGTTCAAATGTAGCACAAGAGAAATAATTAGACTGAATAAACAACCCAGTCTTAAAAGTCTGCACGCTGAAACACCACTATTAAAAAAAAGAAAAAAGAAAATCTCAAATCTCAAACTAAAGTCAATACATGCACCTTGACTGAAAAGCCTATGAGTCAAGACATGCCTCAAAGACTCTTGTAAAAACAAAGCAGGCCTTACCAGGTCAAATGTTCCAGTAGGTGTTGAACGGCACTGATATAAAATCCCTTAAATCCAAGTTGTCAAATCCAAGTAAAATCAATGTAAGCAATGGCACAAACACTTAAAATAAACTGGCAAGGATACATGCTGCCATCTTGGATGGGCTGTCATCTTGGTTATATGAATGTTTGGTGATTTAGCTGACCTAAACACACCATCATTCTGGATTGGGAGAAGTGACAGTTAAATCTTTTAATCTGTACAGCCAACCACTACTGCAATATACAGTACAGAAATAGTAAGAAGCAAGGTTCATGAAGGATTTTGGAGCTGACACCATCTTGTTGTGTTTTTCTTGATGCCCTGCAGGGGGAGTCATGCCTCTATATGTAGCATACACTGCACATCCAATTTAACTCAGATTACGTTCTAAATTAATATATTTTCCTATAGTTACAATTATATAAAAAACATTAATATACTAAAGTTGTATTTAGTCCAGAATATTCCATTCTACATACTGTATATGTAGTATAGTATACTGTATATACCGTCTGTCTCAAATATATATATATATATATATATATATATATATATATTACACTATACAGTAGTGTTAATGCATGGCTCAGGTTGACATCTTGTTGGCATGTCAAATGCTGATAATACATCAGTGTTGGACTGTAATGACTTGAAAGCAAAGCCCTTTTTTAATACTCTTCCTGAGGCATCTAAGGGAATTTTAAATAAATAAAAAAATAACTAATAATAATAATTCACATGAAAGTGAGTCAATCGTAATTATGGATCAGCAACAGAGATCTCTTCATATTAAAAGATTAGTATTGAGTTTTTAGTTGTCATAATTTTCTGGAAACGTAAATTCCATGTAAATCTTATTCAGCTAAATGGTGAGAAACTACAAAGTTGTTTTCTGAGTAGAAACTGATGCACTATTAGCATCCTTAGCATCATAGTATTGTTATTAGCAGAGAGACAAAGAGAGAGAGAGTGACAGGGTTGACACGACACTTCATTTTGCAATGCTTGATTTTCCATTCTATGGTCCCTTGCACTATATTGACTTGCCAAATACTTTTTAGTTCTGTATCTAGTTGATAGATTTAAACACGTTGTCTTTGAATTGTTTACTGAAGAAATGTTTTGATGCTGAAAATGAAGCTACATTGTAGGCTGTTTACTTTCGTATTTAAAAATTTATAAACTGTATAGTTTAGAGTACAAATATTGCTGTCAACACTGTCTGCTCTGTGGGCACCTGGATATTCTTTAAAATAAAAGTGTGGGAGTGATAATGAGACAAAGGTGTGTACAGAAAGCAGGAATAAGCCAGTGGGTCATATGCCACTATTTCAATTATTATTGGAATTTACCTTTAGTTGTTACATCACTGTTCTGCTGCACACATACACTCAGAATTTTTTTTACAAAAGCTGTCACTGGGGCGGTACCCTTTAAGTTGAATTGAAAGTAGTTCAACACTATTTGTCCGATGCCTTCCAGAAAAAGAAAATAATCAACAATAATGCTGTGAGATTACTAAAATTGACTAAAATAAGTGTTTTTATTTGGATAAATATAGTGAAACTTAGTAACTATATGTCAACGAACATCAGATGATTTGTTCCAAATTCAAAAGCTGTCTTGGCCAATTTTGTAAGCTGAAGATTGTTTCCTCATAGTCTTGTATTGCGGGCCATCTTTAGACTACAACGTTTGGCTCAAATTCACAGGGAGCAATTTTTATGAGTGGGCCCCCTAAGGCCCTGTGAGTATATTATACAATAAAAGGCTTTAGTGGGTGCTTAAGGCAACATTCCTGGCTCTTCCCATCTGTTAACTGCCCTGTCACTAGTATAACATAGCATGTCTTTCCTGGTAAAGGATTTCTGGATAAACGCTTACCTGGTTCTCAACACTCTCATGGTTATCCTCAGACTTTTGCTGTTCACTAAATGTGTCTCAAATGTCAAATATTGTGTGACTCAAAGCCTTTTCACATAATAGTAATCTCTCAATATGGGTGGAAAATGTGTGACCTTGACAGCAGATACTTGAGCAAACATAAAACGATATACCAGCAGTTAGCAGTCAAAGGGCTTTGCGGGTAGAAGGGTTTTTTAAACTCCATTTTGACATCATTTTGAAACTGTATTACATGTCAAATTACCCTAATTATAAAATCTCTGGCAGTATATAAAACTGTCCTCAGTTGATTGATTTGGGTCGTGTCACAAATTAAACTTAGGGTATTGTTAAAAACTCATCAGTGGAAAAATACATACATTTGTGTTACTTATTCAGTCACATTAGAAAAAGAATAAAGCATGTATCGGTATATTGTTTGATTGCAGCCTAGAGTAAGTGAGCTCAATAAAGATATAAAAACATCATTGTGCGTTAAGACTGTTTAACTATTGTTCTGACTTAAAATTGTATCCAGTCTTCAATTGTGATAATGTTTCAGCATATTAAATTCAACATTAAAAAAATAGAAAATAGGCTACATGTTAAAGGCACGTAACATAAAATACTGTGGCTTGGCATGATACACAGTTTAATGGTCTAACGAAATCCAGCTTTAAACATCTTTTACTGTACCCATTTTATGGCCCTTATATTACCTATTTCAGTCAATGCATATGAATGAAGTTATCTCAGGACGAGACCGCCCTGATTGTAAAGCAAAACGTGATTGGCTATAGCGAGATCGTGATACGACTGTTCAGCGAATGTGGCTGTTATCTGATTGGCTTGAGTAGACGGTGGGTGGAGTCCACGTATTTGTGGATTGTCAGCACGTCTTGATGCAAGAAATGTTTCACAATTCGCAAATGCACAGGACGCGATTCACAAATGCATGCAGCTATCTACAAATGCACAGGATGCGATTCACAAATAAATGCCAGGCAAAGTTGTGGTTGTGACATAAATATATATTTGTGAATATGTTTTTTATTTGCAAATCTCATTTTAAATATTTGTGAATTTAATTCATGTTTGTGAAACTTTAAGATTTATTTGTGGATCATAATCTATTTATTTGGAATTAAGCAACAATTCTACCCCCATAGAAAACTCCATTCTGGAAATCTCAATATTGGCAAACGCGTGATGCGTCAATGACACTGACAGAGCGTTACAAAATATGCAAATTATTTATAATGTTAACCCGAGGTTTACGAAAGAACAGTGTGAAACGTCACCTTGTGAATAGCCTACCCAGGATTAATTGTTAACCCTGGGAAAAGTATGAGCAGTGTCAAACTTGAAGATAACCCTTTTTTCCCCAAATTGCACAGGTTTTAAAGTACATTTTATCATCTCATACATTCTTATTCACTTATCCACATACACGTTTTACAGATCCAAAGTCACTCTTAATGAAAAGCGAAGAGTTGTGTAACTTACTGTTAAGGCAACTGAAAGGATGAATGGGTAAACGTGACGCCCTGGCACAACAAACCAAAGAATCTAATAAATCATAGATGAAAGCAAAGATTATGTGTTTCAGATTCATTTTAACTCTTAAACATAACTCTTTTTGCAATATTCATGTAACTTGAGAACAGACTTACACGGCTGTCCGGAGGGATCGTTCAGCATCTCATGGTCATTACCTACAAGATTCACAAAACATGCTTGTTGAATCGACCTGATGTCTAACACAAAAATGTACAGCTGTAGTTCCTCCTACCATGTGTTTTGTCCTCCATAACGAAAAACCTCTCCACTGAATAATACTTCTCCTTATCCGAGTAAACAACAGTTGTTTGACCATGACGTTCTGTCCAGCAAACCTCTGCTTTACCTTTAATTTTCACACTCAATGACTGCATTTGTGTGTCCTTCGCCACATCCAGAATGACTTGTCCACAGACAGAATTAATGTCCCGATATAAAATCCCCGCTGGTGAAGGTATTGCTCTGATTGATAGGATTGTAAGTAACATAAATGTTTTTCACAGTGAGGGACATCTTTGGTGCCAATATCCGCTTTTGACGTTTGAACTCGATGAAATCACTTTATATAGCAAGGCTATAAAACTATGGGATTACAATTCTGCCACAATTCTGCACGCGCGAACTGAGTTTTGTGGAGAAAATGTTTGTATCGCAAAGAAGAAAGTATTTAGAGCGCACGAAAATCAATTTTGCATTTAAAATAAGTTTTTGGATGTGTGCAGACCTTCTCTTTTGCGCGTGCAACGTTTCACTAGCTTGCTCACCTGATGCCAGCCCTCAGTGCTCGCTAAATGCCAACAGGTGCTCAACACAACCCAGAGTTACAATGTGCCATAATTCCAGCCAATCAGAGACCGAGGCTGCTAAATTCTGATTGGCTGCCTTGACAACCAATCACAACATTTCTTGCATTACCTC